TTTCTCAAAAGCGATATCGGATAATAGGAACACAACTTAAACAACAAAGACAACTCAATTTTGTTATCTAATTTCAAATCTGTATGACTTTCTTTTTTTCTGCGGGAGACATTTTGAAGAATGTTTTAACTTTTTCTAGAAGTAAAGAAAGTCATATAGGCAGTGTTGGGGAAGCTACTCTGAAACTGTAGTTTGACAAGCTACAAGCTACTCGTAAGTTAAAGTAGTTAAACTACAGTCAAGCTACTCTTTTAGAAAAGTAGTTAGCTACACTACAAGATACTATCAAAAAGTAGCTAGCTACATTGAAACTACTTTTGCTTTTCTGAACAACGTATATTATTAATAACTGAATAAGTGTCTAAGGAAGGACAGAAGGGGACAACAATACTTTTTGAATTCATAATTTTATTGCATTGTTTTAAACGCTAAATGTTTTACTTAAAACATTTAGTGTTTAAAACAATGCAATAAAATTATGATCTCAAAAAGTATTGTTTTATTACACACAACACCCAAATATCTCAGAATGTTTGTCAAAAGTGCAAAATTCCAACAAATAGCCAACAACATTGCAAGAACAAAATATACATCCAACGTAAATTGCATGTAGAACATTTTCTCATAAAACTTGGACAAATAATGCCATGGGTAATTAACTTTAGTTGTTTCTCCATCCTCCAAATCTGCCGTCACGTCACGTCTTGCTCCATCATCATGTGTGTGTCAACACACTTCTGTACGTCAGTGAACCGTAAGCCACAAGATGCGTGATTAAACAACAGGTGGCGGTAATGGCAAAATAAATATGAGTTTGCAATCTAACAAGAAGAAGAATATAGCATCTCGCTGATTTGCGCAGGCTCGACAAACACAATGTAGCCCTTGCTCGAGCTACACCGCTACTTGCTGCAAAAAGTAGTTAGCTACTGGAAAAGCTACACTGTTTAAAAAGCAACTGAGCTACAGCCAAGCTACTGAAAAATTTAGTTAAGTTAGTAGCTTCGCTACTTGTAGTTAACTACTCCCCAACACTGGATATAGGTTTGGAAGAACATGAGGGTAAGTAAATGACAGGTCAAGAAGATGAAACAATGAAAGGTCAAGATGATACACCAGTAAGGCATATGAAAAACTGATTTAAGCAAGATCAATTGAGTGTAAATTGTGCTTGTCTTTTCAGGTGTCTAAAGTGGACGGTATGATCGGTTCATCTGTCTTGAACTCCTATCTAAAGCAAAGCAAGCTAATGGTTCATACTGCACTCTTACAAGCTTATGTTCCTCAAAAGCATCACCGCTATTTACCTGCACAATAAACATATTGAGGCATATATTACTAGCAGTCCTAGGTCTGGTTACTAAAATAATGAATATCGGCCATGCACCCCTTTGTACTACAAATAGGCAGTACTTCAATTGAAAGTCCATTTAATCGGATGAAACGGATAGAACATTTGCCAAACACACACAAAACCAGCTCTTGTTTTGTAATTCAATGTAAAATATTCGTCAAGCTTTTGTATGTAAATATATGTACATAATTGTTTATATTATTGTTATAAAATGTTGTCTGAAACAAATAAATGAATAGATGTGGTAAAAATGTGCTCTTTTTATGATCTGTTTGACATACATTGAGAGGTACTTTTAAGACTTTGTGATTATAAATGGCACCACCGAATTTAAGGTAAAAGCATCAAAATACATTTAAAAAATCATCCATGCATCCAATATTAAAATAATTCTGAACTGTAATAATGCCATACAACCCCCAAACTTCTTCATACATATATCCATGATTGCACTAACAATAAACTAATATTACATTTCTAGTGCTTTAGCAGGAATTACTTTAAAACAGTAACGTTACTGTGATGAAGGTTAGCAATCATTTGATTTCTTTTGTGTGTTCTGTTAAAGGAGTACTAGTTCACTTTTATTTATTTTTT